CATAATTTAATGCAAAATTATGTATTTAAAAGAAATGCATAATTTAATGCAAAATTATGAATGCACGATACAATAACAGTTGAATTTCTGCAGGAAACCTAAGAGAGTAGTCAGCTAGCAAGAGATATGCGGGATGGCGGTTCACCATAGGCAGATTGATTTAATGGAGGTTTAAGGAAGTAAAACTGATTTCATGGAGCGGAGGCTTGTGGCTTTTACTTTCTCTTTTTCCAAAGTCGAAGTAACTTGTTGGAGCAGCATGTAACAGCAGAGCCATCTGTTGAAATACATTTTGTTGAAACGTTTTTATGTATGTATGTATAACCGTTTAACGGAATTACATGCAGGTTTTACAAGTGAGATGCCACCGCTGTGATGGCGGCATGTTGACGTCTGCCTCCTCATCAATAAACATTGGGAAACCCCCTCTTCTTCCCCAGCCACAATTTTCTCAGAGCATCATTTAAACCTGAATACTAATTCTCTCTCATTCCCGACCTGCCCAGGACCTGCAGGCCCAGGACAGAGCCCACCGTATCGGTCAGCAGAACGAGGTGCGTGTGTTGCGTCTTTGCACTGTGAATAGTGTGGAGGAGAAAATCTTGGCTGCTGCCAAGTACAAACTGAACGTGGACCAGAAGGTCATCCAAGCTGGCATGTTCGATCAGAAGTCTTCCAGCCACGAGCGCAGGGCCTTCCTACAGGCTATCCTGGAACACGAGGAGCAAGACGAGGTCTGGGGTCAGGAAGTGTGTCTACGCATGAATGTGTGTACAAGTACCAGCAACACACAATTTCAAAAAAGTGTGCTTTCTTATGCGCTGCTTGCCAATGTGTGTATGCTGTATTCAGGAGGAGGATGAGGTGCCAGATGACGAGACGGTCAACCAGATGATTGCCAGGAGTGAGGAGGAGTTCGACCAGTTTATGGTCAGTGTTTTGAAGATAATTTATAGCATATATATCCTTACAAGCAGCCCTAACTCAACCCAAACCCTATCCCTGTGTATTTTGTTTCTTTGCTCTCTTTTTCCTCCTCTCCCTCCCTCAGCGTATGGACCTAGACCGACGTCGCGAGGATGCCCGTAACCCGCGGCGAAAACCTCGTCTGATGGAGGAGGATGAGCTGCCCACTTGGATCATGAAGGACGACGCTGAGGTTGAACGGCTGACCTGCGAGGAGGAGGAGGAGAAAATGTTTGGACGAGGGTCTCGGCAGCGAAAGGAGGTGGACTACAGCGATTCACTGACCGAGAAGCAGTGGCTCAAGGTTATTAGCCTCATGGTGGAAAGGGCAGAGAAACAAATTAAAATTAAGATACAAAAAAAAACTTTGCTTTCTGAAGAGAATGGTTTGTGTTTTAAATACCTTTTTATTTGAATCTCAAAGTCTGTGTCTTTCGATAGGCAATAGAGGAGGGTACACTGGAGGAGGTGGAGGAAGAGGTACGCCACAAAAAGACGACCCGCAAGAGGAAGCGGGACAGAGACCTGGATCTCCCTGGTCCCTCCTCTTCCTTGGGGGGACGCGGACGAGGGGACAAAGATGAAGACGGGAAGAGGCAGAGGAAGAGGGGACGACCGCCTGCTGAGAAACTTTCTCCCAACCCCCCCGCCCTCACGAAGAAGATGAAGAAGATCGTGGACGCTGTCATCAAGTATAAAGACAGGTAGCAGAAATTAGCTTTGGTTGTAGTCTGTGACACAAATGAAGTATTCTTTGAGTCACACGTTATTTAACAGTTCAACTAATTACAAGCAAACGAGACAATCAGCGAGTAAATTGGCTATCTCTATGTAATTATTCTTAATGCCACCAGGGCGGATTCCCCCTTAAAACCAATGAAACGATTCGTTGGATCACCGCCATTGGCTGCCAGAATCAACAAAAAAAGTTCCTTGTAGCAGCTTTAAGGTTAAAAGAGAAATGATGTTGCACTTCCTTTATAGAAACTGTGAAAAAAGCGACACAGTTTTCACAACTGCTTAAACATATTTCCTGAAATATTGTGTCATTTTCCCAAAGCTATAAACACAAAACCATGATGTCACACAAATGGCATCAAATGCACGGACACTACTATACAGCAGTACACACTGGTGAGTGAAATAAAGAGCACTATCTTTGTGTAGAAGTTTTTAATTAGTCACTAAACCTGTGTTTAACATCTTATGTAGACTTGCTCTAATCAGCAACACGTGTGTAAGTAAAATAATACATGTTATTAAATGTCACATTAACTTGTAATAATACAGCATAACCCTGCTATATTATTGAATCAACAACAAACAACTGCTGGAAGGACTTTAATTCTTTGTTTCTACATGTACTTACAGTACACATATTAAAACAGTTATGCTTGTTTACAGATTGAAAACTTTTAACTCTCACTAATTTGTATTAATTGAGTTTTATATATTGGCTGACAGTATTTTATGTAGAGGTAAAGTTAAATTTAGCTTTAACCTCTTGAAGTTAAAGATACCATTTTTATTCATAGATAAAGATTACAAAAAACTATTCCTGAATGGTTGTTTAAAGGTCCAGTGTGTAACATTTAGGAGGATCTACTGGCAGAAATGTAATATAATATTCATAGTTATGTTTTCATTTGCGTATAATCACCTGAATATCGGAATAGATGTGTTTTTGTTACCTTAGAATAAGAGTGAGTCTGCCATTTAGAACCACAGTGTTTCTACAGTAGCTCAGAACGGACAAATCAGTTACTTGCAGGCTGAAAAGTTCAGCAATTGATGCCACTAAATCCAACATACTCTAAATCCAACATACTGGTCATTTAAATAGAATAAACTAACAACGGGTTTGAAATGATAAAGTCACTATTGGGGAGCTTGCAGATGTGTTTTCTCATCTTGATGATGTAATTTACCGCAGCGCAAGTGGGCGTCAGCTGAGCGAGGTGTTCATCCAGCTGCCGTCTCGAAAAGAGCTGCCGGAGTACTACGAACTGATCCGCAAGCCTGTGGACTTTAGGAAGATCAAGGTAACATCAGGAATATAAGGAATATTTTGGGGTAAATTGGTCGCTGTAGCAGCCAATACAACAAATTCTGGCTGTGTCGATTATTGACGGATTCAAACAGATAGACATTACATGTTACTTTCTCTTATATACTAAGTGATGTGTACATGCTGTTTCTTCACTGCAGGAGAGGATTCGAGGTCATCGCTACCGCAGTCTGGGCGACCTGGAGAGAGACGTCATGCTGCTCTTCCAAAACGCTCAGACCTTCAACCTGGAGGGATCACTGGTGAGGCTCACTGTACACACTGTTCGCTCATGAATGCAGAACAACACCTGCTGTCCTCTTCTCCACTGTGTACTGTTCGGTAAGAGTAGTGTACCATGTTTGAAATTAAAACTGGGGTCTGTCCATTTGTCTTACTTTCATATCTCAGCCATTACTTGTTCTTTATTCAGTAAACATGAAGGATTGTTGCACCATAGTTAAATGAAAAGCCGATTGATGAAACTTGGAGGGTATTATAGAGGTTTTTTTGTATTGTTTATATAGATCCTTATGGCCTTGATCAGAAAGCTTAAAATAAAGTGCTACAGCATCTATTTCAACAGCTGATCTCCCATCACTATATTGTTAGTAATCATACATGAATTATGGCCGCTGAAAGCTGCCAGTGTTACCTCTGTGTACACGACGTTGATAATAAAGTTCTACCATGTTTCTCTCATGTGAGCAGATATATGAAGACTCCATTGTCCTCCAGTCAGTGTTTACCAGTTTGAGGCAAAAGATCGAGAAGGAGGAGGAAAGTGAGGGGGAGGAGAGCGAGGAAGAGGAAGAGGAGCCAGAGGAAGGATCAGAGTCTGAAAGTATGCCTGTCTGTTAGTCAGATTTTTTCATGTAGAGTTGCAGTCTGTTTTTGAAATGGTCATCTTTTAGTTAATGGCTGTGTTACTTGGCGTTGGTGGTAACAATGTGTTTCCCTTCAGTTGCATTGTTTTGATACCACTGATATGATTCTTTGGATTAGCTTTATTTATACCATAAACATGTCATGTGTGTGTCTGTTTGTCTCCAGCGCGCTCAGTGAAAGTAAAGATCCGTCTGGGAAGGAAGGATAAAGGTGGAGATCGAGGGAAGGGACGCAGCAGACGAACAGGACGCACCAGAGCTAAACCTGTTGTTAGTGATGATGACTCTGAGGATGAGCAGGAAGAGGTAACTCACTGTGTGTGTTTGTGTGTGCTGGTGTCTGTCTGTCCTACTACAACCTGGGTACTGTTGGTGCTGATAGTCTGAAAAATGTCCAAGAGCCTATTATCCTGAGAATAAATGTCCATTAAAATATAACTTACTTAATGAAATTCACATACGTCACACATTTAAAAAACGTAACATTACTTAATGGACGTATTTTAACCCAAATCAGGATCTTTTATGTGTTACAAAACATACCAGTTTATGAAATACATCACATTGTTACAGATAAAAAAATTGGCTCCACCTTGAACAACAACATTAAAGTACAGCTTAAATATTAATACATATAATGATACAAAATTGTATAAATAATAACACTGATAGTAGTACTGCATCTGCATTCTTTTACTTAAGTGAAATTTTGAATACAGGACTGAGACTGTGGCATTTTACTTTCTTTTACTTCCATGAATGATTTGACTTGGTGGAAAGTGAAGCCATGAGGAACAGTTTTGGGTGTGTATCCGGGAAAGCAGTTTCTTCACATTGCGAGATTGTATTTTTGAATGTTTCATAATTTTCTCATGAACTCCAGCACTTGCTTGAATAAAAAAAAAAAATGAATGACACACTTTTCCTATGATTGTCATCAGTTTATAAAAAGTCTTATAGGTGTAGTTTGATTTAGATCTGGGTGGGGGTTCAGATTAAAAAAACACTACTAGTTTTCTCTTTATCTTTTTTCCAGGAGCGCTCCCCCAGTGCCACTGATGAGGAGTCCTGAACTGTACTGTAATGTGAGAGAGGAGGGGGCATAAAGCACTGCATACAAAATAAACATGCCTCTGTCAACTCCATCTATCCTTAATCAAATGTCATAGGACTGAACTAGAAAGGAGGTTTGCAATACTATCAATACAGGAACAAATAATTATTTGACTAGTCATAAAAACATCACATGGATTGGACTATGCACATCAACATTTTCTTTCTCTACTGAGGCTCAGTCGTAACACAGAGAATGTTGTTTGTGTGTTAAAACACTAATTCACAGTTTATGAGAGTTAGGGACGAGACAACAATCAGTATAGCAGCATATTGTGATACGTAAGGCAGATGGTCATTATTGTGATAACCCAAGAAAAAAACTGTATCCACTCTCTTATGCTAAAGCTGCTAATGGACAACAAATACAAGGCGTGAAAAGAGTGGCAACCAAAGTACAATGACTACAACCACAACTACCACACACTGTGTAGTAACGTTTTCTTTTTTTGGTACATTTTAATGCCACTTGAAGAGATTTTTAATCCTATTTCAGTAATTATATAAATAGATTTATATATTGAGACAATATCAACAGATAATAATTGTGCTATTAAATTTTCATAATCAGCTCAACTTGCCTTGAAGACGTGAAATGTGAAATAACTAAACAATTCCAACAGTAACACTCTAAGTCCCTTTACTTATTATTATAAACACATTAATAAATGCTCATATCTGTTAACAACTACATTATAGTATGTTATAAGCCATTTATTAAATGTTTATATACTGCTTATAAATGCTAAATAGGGGGTAAAGTGTTTCCATTACAACTGAGACAAACGGTCTTTAAAAGGAATAAAGGTTCAGCTAGTTAAACTCTGACATAACTGCATTGTTAAACAATTAAGAAGACATTTAATGTCCCATTAGGCCTATATTTATCCAGATGTACTTATTTTTGGGGCAAATTGTAATAAGAAATGAGTCCTTTGCTCACCTGAGGAGTTAGAACTGGCGGGAACCAGTAAAGTGGAGTAAAAAAACACTGAATGTAAACAGAAAATGTTTTTCAGACTGAGGTGTGTTTTCATCCAGCGTGAAGCCACCACCTTACTTTACCTTGCCTTCCCTCTGGACATACATGTAAACAAACATGATGTTTCACCTCTGATTCGCTGTGGCGACATGTTGTAACAACAGTCAGCCACTCTGGAGCCGCTGTGATTACCGAGGTGTGTGTACATCCCTTATTCGCAACTGCAGTTGGAGTTGGAAACCCAGCCTGCTGTGGGTGCAGGGTGTTTCCAGACTTCTCAGAATCTCTTTAGCAACACTCGCCACTGTTATTTGACTGTGAGGTTTAATGGAATTGAGTCCAGGTCACTCTCCTAATATTGTATATATGGTACAGTATTAAAACAACCTGCTCCACGTTGCTGCTGCTTTCCTGTTACACTTCCAATATAAGCACTTATAACTGCTGATTGTAGACTTTAAGAATTATGAGGTCATAATTCATCGATGAGTACTGTAACTTTAATTGCTTCTCCTTCAGTTGTTGTGTGGTGATTTTAGGATTTCAGAACATGTTTGATGTACTTCTACAAGACAAAGGACCAGAGGGACAGTGGCTCCTCTCTGCTTGTGAATGCCTCACGGCTGTATGGTGTTGGATATACTGTATAGAGTATTTTTAGAGTATAATGTCAATGCACGTGTGTACAGCTCGCAAGTTTAGCACTGTACTTTTTTCATTATGGTAGGTAACTAGAGTGAAGAACATAACAACCAAAGCATCGACGTTTTCTCCACTGAATTACTGGGATCTGTCTGTGTTGTTGTTGTCATTGTCGCTGGAACTCAAAAGGTAACAATAAATCACAGCAAAAGTGAATGTTGTCATTTGTGTGATGTAATGCTGAAATAAAATAGTCGATTAAGTGATTAGTCAGTTGACAGGAAATTAAACAATTACTAACTTTTCATATCTGATAAGTGGTTTGAGTCACTCTTTTTTCAAGTAAAACATTTGCTGGTTGGGAATATACTGCTTTTCTTTGTCTTATATGATGGTAAACAGGATATCTTTAAGTTTCAGACTGTTAGTTGAACAAAAACAAGCAAGATTCTGATATTTTATACAAGCAAAAAATAATCCACAGAGTAGTCAATAATGTAAATCGCCCTCATGATACATTTTTATTACTCCAGATGAATTTGGATATATATTCAGGGATGTGCCGATGCTGACTGTACCAGTGTCAAGTTTCGGCTCTGATACTGTGCTCATGTACTCATAATCATAAAACTACACTGATACCACTTTGCGGCAGCGTGATGTTACGTAACCTCTCTGTATCTGAGCATGTAGGCGGAAGAGAAGCAATGTCTGCAGTTTGGAGATATTTTAAACAACATTAGCAGCTTTTAATTTGTTACGGTCACAAAGTGAACATCTGATGAAAATAAAACATGCTTTGAAAGTCATTGTTTAAACTGTGATGGTATTATTAAGCACTCGATAACAGCAAGTACCCAAATCTAAGTACTTGTATTTGGTATCGGTGCATCCCTAGTTACATTCCCAGTAGCTGGAGGTCAGTTCAGGTCAAAGGTCATCTAAATCCTCTTTCTACTAATAGCACTGCTGCAGTTGCATTCACTTTATTCTCATCATATTTGCTTTTAATCTTTAGGGGACAGTAAAAGCCTTTTAGTGGACTGGGCTTTGAATTTTGGGCCTCCTGACAGCTCAAACTTCGGCCCTTAAATCTCTAAGATGCAGTGCAACTGTCTCACCACAAGGAGGAAGTCTCATACAAACACAGGTCATTACACTGCTGACTCATATAGCAGTTTTTAAACCTCATATATTTAAAACAGTTTTCCTCAAAATGCCCCTGAATTAAACTCTACAACCCATTTATTTATGATATTATATTTATTGTTTTGCTGTGATCCAACTTGACCTTACTGCCGCCTGCCCATTGATTCCAACATATCATGAAAAACAAAATCAACATCCCCCTCCACTCACTTCTCAGTAGGGTCATGCGAATAAATGAATATAGAAACTCTTTATCCAGATGATGTAAATAACCTTGCTTTACCCCTCATATTTATGTTTGTTTTGTAAGTGGGATTGCTGGCTGGGAGAGAAATATCTTAAATGTACAGTGTCCGTTTTGGAGAAGCAGAACCTCAACAGTGAGGTCTGTGTTGGAGGTAGAAGTGTTTGCTCCTTATAGAGAAGAGGAGGGGGATGGTCTTGGTTTCCTGGTTTCTAGGAAACCCTGCATCAGAAACTCAAAACCAGCTGTTAACATCTGTCGGGGGGGCGGGGGGCAGCAGCTCCTCCTGAGGTCACCAACACAGCACAAAGGCAGCAGCGGCAGACTTTTCCTAAACTTCCTCAGGAATTGTAAAAAGAGGTCCAGCATACGTTTGGATTTCACATTTACCACAAAGAGTGTATTCAGAATACACGTCACATATTCACATAAGCCCCGCTGATAAGAATAGTTGTCCACTCTTTATATTTGGTGTGATTGTGTTCATTTTCAGTTTTTCTGAAAAGCTCCACTCTGATAAGGAGTAATATACATGTTCCATTTTCTAGATTAATAATAAATCTACAGAATACAGCTCATAAATTAGAAGGAAGTTACGTTGTATTTGTAGGCGGCAGAGAGGAACTTTTTGACAACAATTTTATATGCTTTTCGAATGATTTGTTAACCTGTGATGCACAGCCTTTGAAATATAAATGTTTAGCTGTATATGTCAAACTTTGACCTTTGAGGTGTGAAAACTACACACAGCAATAAACACACGCTGCCATAAAATGTGTGTGTTTACTAGACTTATCAAATCTGTTGGCCTGAGACGCTGGACATGACTTTCACACGGCAGAGCACATAGTGATGGGCAGAAAACAATAGATAAAGTAGTGTACGCTGCATTTACTCTGTGTATGTCTCACCAAGTTAGAGTTGTTATCAAGTGTATGATAAGAAACTCAAGGCTCTATGACAGCCTGCCTTTATAACTGGGTAAATTTATAGGGAGAAAGATTTGTGTCAGTTAACCTGGTTCAGACCTACACATTTCTGCTCACCTTCCCATTTAGCAGCTGAAAGTGTAATAATAATGAATTAGAATAAGGTGAAACTAAATTCAATTCACTGTGATCAACAGACTACTGGTCACAGTAGGAAAAGCACAGGTGTAAATAATAAGATGAGATGGGCTGAATTCCCCATTTTTAGCGCTTCAGTTTCAGGGTCCTGCTATATATCATGGTGGCTCACTCTCATGACAACTGGGACGCTTTTAAGTAACACTTCTACTACTATATAAGTCTAAATAAGGGCCTGTTGCCTGAGTCTCAGATTGAGGGGCTTTTTTTTTCCACTGATGTATCCTTCATCTTATCTGAAAATGTCAAATTTACACTTCGATGTTTAGGTTACACTTTAACTTAAAGGTAAATTAAGTTAAAGGGTTTTTTTTCTTATCAATAACACAATGTAAATAAAAGTGAGCTCAAGTTTAAGAGGCAGTACAGAGGAGAAGATCTGAGTGAGTCACATATGATTCACTTGTTCCTGCCTTCTTTGGATGTCTATGGATTACATTTTTTTTATTGTGTGTGGTAGGTACAAACACTGAGCGTGCCTCTCTGTGGGTGTGTTAACAGTGTGTGTAGTGATGGTGAGTGTAGCAGAATATGTAATCCAACCACTATTTCGACATTCCAGGAATACGTCCCACAGTTTATTAAGCCAGGCAAGGTCCTCGCCTTCCCCCTCTTTCTACACACACACACACACAATCTGTGAAGACATAACATCCCAGTGATGATGATGATCCAATCTGAACTCATGCACAAAAAACAGTCTAGTTGTTTGGGAAAGTTAGGAAGGAATCAGATGAACGATTTAAGAAACTGTATTCTGTATTATATTTTTGGTGTTACTTAAATCACGAGTGACAAGAAGACAGTAATGTAGAGCACTTTCTTGCCTATATTATGATATTTTCTTTTGAAAAGGTTCTGTTTGCTTTTGAGGAGGAACAGATGCAATGATTAGGAGCTATGTAGTATTCATACACTGCATACATGCAGTGTTTTTCAGTGTAAATTTAGCACGTTGATTCTTTTAACCAAAAGTACCCAATCTCTACACCCAGAAGGTTTAAAAACAAAACTGAAAGAAATTCAAAAAAAGAAGTGCCTCCTTTTCATCTTTATGTGAAACAAATGAGCCTGTAGTTTATCCACGAACCCCTGCAGTGACACAGGGCCCCCCATGTGTGAGCACGTGGCCTCCCATATGACAGGGTTTTCTTCTTTTCCTTTTCTAATGTAAAATAATGAGTGATACTGACTGTATGGTGTGGACGAGTTCAGTCCGTCTTTTCGCTTCCTTTCATTCCTCTCTCTCTTCCTCTCTCTCACACACACACACATACACACACAACACACACAACACACACACACACTACACACACACAACCGGTTTGGGAGGAAGAAGCAGGGTGGATGGAGGGGGTGATTGGAAGGACGGCGCGCGCGCACACACACACACACACACACACACACACACACACACACACACAGTGATACAGCAACAATGTGGCTCCTCCCACAGAGTGCTCATGTCCACTTTTAAACATC